GACTTAAGGAGGGAATAACATACATACTCAATTGGGTGTGGAAATCTATCTTACCCTACAGGAAAATAGGGGGGGAAGGGGACAAGAGAGTAGGGGAATGATAGAGAGGAGGGCAGATTGAGAAAGGGAGTAATCAGAAGCAAATACTTCTGAGGAGGGTCAGGGTCAAAAGAAAGAATAGAATAAATGGGTGGGCAGGATAGGATTAAGGGAAATAGAGTTAGTTTTTCATAGCATGTCTACTATGGAAGTGTTTTGCATAGCTGCACATATATAACCTATATTTAGTTGCTTGCCTTATCAATGAGGGTGGGTGGGGAAGGAGGAAGGGAGAAAATTTGGAACCCAAAGTTTTAAAAACACATGTTTAAAAAAAAAATGTTCTCACATGCAACTGGGAAATAAGAAATACCGGAAATGGGGTACAGAAATCCATCCTGCCCTACAGGAAAACTGAAGGGGAAGGGGATAAGAGGGGAGAGGTAGAAGAGAAGGCAGACTAGGGGAAGGGGTATTTAGAATGCGTGCCATCTTGGGGTGGGGGGAGGGGCGAGATGGGGTTAAAATTTGGAACTCAAAATCTTGTGGAAGTAAATGTTGAAAACAAAAAAATAAATAAAAATTACCATAAAAAAATACATGTATTTTTACATGGAGGCTACAGTCAAGTAGGGGAGATGAAACATGTATAAATAACTCAATAAAAGGCAGAATATGAAAGTGCATTCAATAGGAGAGGTAAGATATTCCTGAGGGTAAGCAGGGTAGGGCTGAATTTCTGGAGAAGACAGTGTTAAGACTAGGCCTTGAAGGATATGTTAGATTGACAGAGGCAAGACAGAGATGTTGAGAAAAGAGGAACGATCTTTTTGATCTTTCAAGGTAAAGTGAATAAGATTAACGGACAGGGGTGGGAAAAGGTTTCATTGGCTGTATATAAAAAAGAGCAATTAGCTGGGTCTGGCTGGAGGCTGCCCAGCAAGAAATGCCAGGAATACAAAAAGATACCTCTTCAACATAATTCCTTAACTGACTTGATAGGACATTTTTGTTCATATGTATCTTAAGGTTTTCTTTGATATTTCAATATCTCTAATGTTTTTAAAAAACCTATTGTACAAAGATTTAGAGTCAATGAGGTCTGCTTAATATAGATTCTTGCCAACCCAACATGTCAGAACTAATATTTTTAAGGTTAAATACATGTAAACAAGGGTACTAACTATAATTTTTACTTTTAAAAAAGAAAGTTGGTTAGATGGACCCAATGAAAGATTTTAGCACAAAGTTAAATTAGTTACTATCAAGTTTAAATGAAGTTTTAAATGTAGGCATCAGGATTAAATCACTGAATAATTTGACAAATCAAGCTCTAAAATGGAAGTGAAACATTAGGGCAGATGGAAGGATTTAGAGAGGATTTTTTTTTTTACTGTATCTCACTCTTAATTATATTTCACCATCTGAAATAAATTATGATGAGTCATGAATTATATAACCCCAGAAGGAGGTTCAAATATATCTTACATTGCTCTTTCTAGAAGTGTCATTTGTGTCAATTGAAAGGGTTGTAAGATGAGAGATTGTTCAATACTAAAGATGAGACAACTATAATTTCATATTGCTTCTACTAAGAGAACCACATAGGCAATGTTTCTACTCCAACATTTATAGTCAGAATCAGAGCAAGTTAGAGCCCAATTCCATCATTTTACAAAGAAGGCAGCTGAGGCCCAAAGGGTGAAGTGATTTGTTCAAAGTCACAAAGATGGAAAGTGGCAAAGGCCAAGCTGAGACTGATGTCCCTTGATTTGGGTTTAGTGCTCCTCTTATCACACTAAACCACCTCTTGCTAGCAGCAGAGCTCAAATAAACTCAATATATTTAATTTCCTAATGAGATAAACAATGTGCATAAGTGACCTTTGAAGACAGACTCAAGACTTACCAGTAGGAGTGGTAACCAGTTTAGTTGTCATGATCGCCCCATTGCTGCTCACCACCATAATGGGTGAATTGCTGCTGGTGGGCAGTGTTGCTGTGACTGGTTTAGGGAGGATTTTACTTGGTTGAACCTGCTGAGTGATGATTTTAACACCTGTGAATGAAGAAATATATATAAAAATCACATATTTTTTAAAAAATTCTGAAACATATCCTTCACATGATCCTAAGAGGGCAGTAGTTTCACTTATCTGTTTTAACTTTAACTAAGCATATTATGTCAACCCCTTAATACCTCCTCCCCTAAATTTACATAATTCTACCACTTCTCTTCTTCAGATCCCACATCCAACAAAAAAGTTGCTAAGAATTTAAGCAAAGGAGAAACAATTTTTCCCTTCATTCCTGCCCTAAGCTACTCAAGTCTTCTTACTGAGATCAAATGAAAGAGCCAGTTAACCACTAGAAATGGCTTTTCCAGAGGAATAATCTGTAGACAATTATTTTATGTGACATGTTCTATGCAAAAGGTTTGGGATAGGAAAACCGTGACGAGCAGTCAAGAACAAAGTTAAAGAGAAAGGGGTTTTTACAGATTTCCAACACTTTCTTTTATTGAAACACTGTCATCAATCTCCTTATCACTGAAAAAGCAGCTTTAAAAAATCATTTTAAATATTCCATTTTACAAGTGTTAGCCTGTCAACTCCAGCATTAGAAAGATTCCTCTTCTACAGTCTGACCCTGGTGCCTTCTGATGTTATGCAGGTGGCCTTATCTTCTCCAGGGTTAGGCCCACAAAGCACAAACTCTGCTGAGGTGGAAAGGTTTCAAGTGGAAGCCAATGACAGCCTGGCATGCCTGCAGTCTGAGGACTTGCCTGTCTAAGGATTGAGAAACAGAAGGTACACTGCATTTTTGCAAGGAGTGACACACAGGGAAATCAGAGAGCTTTTGAAATGTCTTAGTAAATATACTTATTGAATGTTTATATTCAATGCTCAAAAAACATTGAATCTTTTTTTTTTTAAAGGAATTGGGGTTAAGTGACTTGCCCAGGGTCACACAGCTACTAAGTGTCAAGTGTTTGGTCTGAGGCCAGATTTGAACTTAGGTACTCCGGACTTCAGGGCCAGTGCTCTATCCGTTGCGCCATCTAGCTGCCCCCAAAATACTGAATCTTGAGGCAGACAGCAACTCCTCAGTAGAAGGTCTTTGAGAAACAGCAAGAAATGAAAAATTCTTTCCCTTACAGCCAGCTCTGAACTGAGCTAGTCTGGTCCCCAGTTAGCAGATATATAACCGATATATAACCCATTACTGACCCCATACCCTAAGCCTTTCTTTCTAGTCTGGTAAAATTTGCCAAATCCAGTATTATAGCTTTAAAAACTAGGTGGCAGCTAGGTGGTAGGTGGTACAGTGGATAGAGCTCTGGCCTTGGAGTCAGGAGGACCTGAGTTCAAATCCAACTTCAGATACTTGACACTTACTAGCTGTGTGACCCTGGGTAAGTCACTTAACCCCACTGCCTCACCAAAAAAAAAAAAAAGGCAAAAAATAAATAAATAAATAAAACAAAAACTTAGAGGGCTTCAATAAAGTCAAATTAGAAACTGACTGAGGGGAATCTTACTTATATTATAATAATGTATATTAGTTATAAAATTAATCATTAACAAAACTAAATGAGGATGAAATTACTGTTAGGATCTGTTCCACAGACATCAAAATCATAAAAGGAATATATTACTGTGGAAAGTAAGAAGTACATTACTTTTTAAGGGGAAATGACTGAGGCTGACTAAATAGGAAGAAAGGAACCTCCACTTATTTAATAGTATTAAATCATTTCACCTCACTGTAAACAAGTGATGTTAAAATTTTACACAGCCTCTAAGAATCCAGATTCAGTCTTCTTCACTTGACAGAAAAACTAAAACAAGAGGTCACGGAAAACAATCATCTTTTGATATTATCTCATGGATGAGTTGCAAACATGGTTTAGCAAAAACATCCCCAAACCCAACCTTAACAACTGCAATACTGCAGAAATATGAAGCATTATTCATTAACCAAACATATGGATACTAGGATCTCTTTCCACCAATCAAAAGATAATCATTTCAGATGTGCTTTAACACATTCAAAGATACAAATTTAAAAGCCCTGGTATTGCCTCTAACTGTTCCATCCAAGGAAGCATGAAAAGCCATTTTATTTCAAACATTTAAGCCACAGGACAGTAGGACAAAACTAACACTCCAAAGGATATTTGTAGATTGTTATAAAACCACTGGCTTTTCCTCCATGGAATCTGGGGAGCACTGCTATGCCCTGCCAACCTCTTTCCATAACTGCAAACCATAAGCTCTCTAGAATATTCTTTAGCAGTAAAACAGGCACTCACTACTACATTCTTTGGCAGTAAGACTTAACAACTGTCCTCATTAGAATTTGGAAACTAGCACTGGTTTCCAAAACAACAGGGACCAATTTTAAAAGGTAAATTCTGGTCCCTGCCTTGGGTTTGCATTATTATCTCCGAAATGTTCTTCAGTTACCTGATTCCTGTTTGATCTGGATGGTGGGCTTGATGCCAGGTGGTAACTGAGATTGCTGGGGCTGTTGCTGATGAGACACTGCTGTGGGCTGGGCCAGTTGCTGCTGGGGCTGTTGCTGCACTTGATGCAGTTGCTGTTTTGGGGACTGTTGATGTTGTTTAGGGAATTGTGCTAGAATCTGGGTGGGCGTGGCCACCAAGCTTTTAGGGGAAGGAAGTCTGGTTGATGCCACCTTAATTGCTGATGTGGATACACCTATAAAAGTGCAAGAGGAAGAAAAAAAATATTTAAGAATAAAAAAGGTGAAAATTATCATTGGGTATGGCAACAGGAAAACCATTTGCTGTGGATTCAGTAAATCAAAAAAGAAACAAGCAAAATACCAGACAGATGTTTCAGTCACATTTTTAATTTTTTTGTGTGTTTGTATTAGAAAATGAAAAGCACTCATGAAATTCACAGAATTTTATTATTAGAAGTTAGATTATGTAACTTCTCAGATCCATTTCATCCAGTATGAGTTCATCTACATCTCCCTGAAGCAGTATTCAGGTGTCTTAGCAAATCGATAAACATTTACTAAGCACTTACCACGTGCCAGGCACTATGCTAAAAACTGAGGATACAAAAAGAGGAAAAAGACAGTCCCTATTCTCAAGGACCTCATAGTTTAACAGGGGAGACAACATACAAAAATATGCAAACAAGCGACATAAAGGACAAATAGGAAGTAATTTAAAAAGAAAAAGTGCTAGAATTAAGAGAGGTTGAGGAAGGCTTCCTGAAGAAAACAGTGTTTTAGTTGAGACTTAAAGGAAACCAAGAGGGAGAGCATTCCAGGCACAGCAAACAGCCAGAGAAAATGCCTGAGTCTGGAGATGGAGAGATGGAGTGTCTTGTTCATGGAACAGCAAGTAGGAGAGTGTCACTAGATCAAAGAGTACACATCAGGGAGTAAGGTGTAAGAAGAATGGAAAGATGTTGGGGCAGCTAGGCTATAAGTGGCTTTGAACATCAAAAAATAAGATTTTGTATTAGATCCTGGAGATGACAGGGAGACACTGGAATTTATTGAGTAGGAGGATGACATGGTTGGATGTAAGCTCTAACAAAATCACTTGGGTAGCTGAGTGGAGGATGGATTGCAGCAGGGAGAGACCTGAGGCTGGCAGACCCATCAGCAGGCTCTTGCAACAGTCTAGGACTGAGGTGATGAGGACCTGCATCAGCTGGGGTGGCATTGTCAGAGAGTAGGGGATTTATTCTAGAGATATTGCAAAGATGAAACTGATAGGCCTTGGAAACAGAGTAGATATGGGGGGTGAGAGGTAGTTAAAAGTCAAGGATGACACCTAGGTTTTGAGCCTGAGGGACTGGATGGTGTTGCCCTCAATAGTAATAGGGAAGGTAGGAGAGGGAAAGATAGTAAGTTTGGATTTTGGAATCTTGAGTTTCTACTGGACAAGATGTCTGAAAGACAAGATGGCTGAAAGACTGGAGGTCAGCAGACAGCCGAGGGCAGAATAGGTAGATCTGAGAATCATTAGCTTCTGCTTGCACATCTCTAAGGAATAAATAATCAAAGGGGGAACTCACTACCTCATGAGACAGCCTATTCCATAACTGGACAGTTCTCAGTGTTAGAAAGTTATTGCATACACTGAGACCAAATCAGTTACCTTGTTCATTCCCTGCTCCCCTGAGGCAGACCTTCAAATATATGTTGATAACCTGAAGATAACATCTGTGCTTTTATACTGGCCACCTCCCCTACTTAGAATGCCCTCCTTTCTCACTTCTGCCTCATAAAATCCCTCACTTTAAGACCAAGCACAAGCTTTCACATGAAGCCTTTCCCAGTTTCTCCAATGTTGGTACCCTCCCACCCTACTCTGTATTTACATTTTATATGCATGTGTTTTGTAAGTGTAATGTCTTCCCCAACAGACTAGATATACTTATTTCCCCAGTGCCTAATACAATGCCTGGCATATTGTAGGTGCCTAATAAATGCTTGTTGATTATGATCATCTCCCTCTACCACACACATATATACGCACATGAGCAGAAAGATTTTTCTCCTTTAGGTTTTTTGTTGTTTAGTCATTTAGTCATAATTTAGTCATTTAGTCATAATCATGTCTGATCCTTTGTGACCCCATTTGGGATTTTCTTGGCAGAGATACTGGAGTGGTTTGCCATTTCATTCTCTAGATCATTTTACAGATAAGGAAACTGAGACAAACAGGGTTACGTGACTTGCTCAGAATCACACAGCTAGTAAGTGTCTAAGGCTGGATTTGAACTCAGAAAATTGAGTCTTCAGGCTCAGCACTCTATCTATTGTGCCACCTAGCCACCAGGCTAAATAGTCCCAAACCTTTAACTGGTCCTCCTCTTAAATGGTTTCCAGTTCCCCTCACAGTGTTCCCTGGATGTACTTCTGGGTGTGTGTCACTGCTCTTCTTAAAATATGATCCCCAAACAGAACACCATGAGGTCTGACCATAGCAATGTGCAATGAAATCAATATCCTTTGTATCCTCTCTGTTTGTAAACCAAGAAGGCATTAGTTTTTCTGAATGTCTTTGTCATACTAAGAGCTTATGATGGCGGGGGGGGGGGGGGGGGGGAGGGAAGGAAGGTCTGTGCCTTTCATTTCAATGACTTAGGAAGTTCTTGAGGAGGAAAGTCTCTACCAACACAAGACTGAAACTGTTCTGCAACTAACGACCTTGGAGAATATCCCATGAGCCCAAAGAGATTAAGTGGCTTGCTTGGGGTCACGTGGTCAGGATAAGTTAAAGGCAGGATCTAACCCAGATCACTGTGATTCTGGAGCCAGGCTTCTACCCACTGTACAATAATCTCTCTTATATTCAATTAACCACCTTAGGGGTTGATGTGAATAGTTTAACAGCAAGAGGGGAAAAAAAGGAATTTACAAGTATAAACTGATACAAATTACAATTAAGTAATAAAATAGTGAGATCTTCTTCATATTGACTGCCAGCAAACCATAAGTGTATTTTTTTCATTTTCCTCAATACAACATCAAAGCAGACTGTCGAATTTGAGGCACTATAGATCTCATGTTTGGATCCCATTGTGAATGTATATTATGAAATATTACACTTTCAGGTTTCAAAAAGCCAATTTTTAATCTGTATCAAGTAAAGTAAATACTACAAAGTTCTAGTTCTTTAACCCGACACTCTAAGAAAATAAATTCATGAAACTATTCAACATAACAAATGTACATTGTCGTCTGTCAATTCACTTAGTGCTACCTTGCTACATGTTATTTTATGTGATATTTTATTCCCCAATTTGAACGTTTATTCTACTGTGTTTTCTTTATGGCTCTTGAGTTTTAATGAAAAATTTTATTAAAAGCCTCATTCATATAAAATTTTTCTTAGGATTAACAAAGGAGGATTGTTAAATGTATACCTCTAATGTAAAGAAAGCAGCTAAAGTCAAACTAATTTAAAATGAACAAACAGTATAGAGAGAAGAGTAGGTAAAAACAGAAATTGTAACATTAGAAAGCCTAGCAAACAATATAGTTTCAAAATCCGACTAGCTTCCTATGTGCTACTGAGCCAAACAGATTCAGTCTATGTCTGTTGGGATTACATTTCTTGGTAAAGGGGTAGCTTTGGATACATGTGAAATTTTTTGTTTTACACTACTGAGTCTAGTGAAAGAACGGACATGAATGCGGCAAAAAAAAACAACAAAAAACCAATACCTTCTTCATGAAAGCAAATGTGAAGCACAAAATAATTATTTAACTGAATTAGGAAAAAAAAAAAAACACCACAACCTATGAAAGTAGACTACTACTGACAGAGCTCCTGATACTTAAGCAGTACACAAAATCGAAAAAGCCATAGCGTCAAACAGAAGATCAAAGGGTATATCACCCAGTCTCTTGGATTTGACAACCACATAGATAACCACACTGATTGAAGAATTCATACCCGTCCTTTAAAGCTAAGAAAACAAGAGGAAGAAAGATTGTCTCAGAGACAGATAGGTTGGAACACGGAGCAGGAACAAAAAAGAGGACGAGTCCAACCTGAATCACAGTAAGCCACAGAATAAAGTATATTGAAAGCAGAGTGGCAGAGACTAAAGAGAGGATGACACGAAGCTAGGAAGTTAATAATGAATACTAGTGCTAGGCAGAAAGGGAAAAACATAAGAATATGGAGGCTTCCAAGAAATATGTAGGAAACCAACAAAAATTTCAAGGAAAAGGATGAAAAAATGGAATCATAAAGGTGAAGCAAAGGCAACAAGAATTTAACTGAGAAGCAAATTTAATAGAGAGGAGAGGTTTTGGTCATCATGGTTAGAAATAAGAATAAATTCTTTGTTAAAAGAACAGAAGTGGGATCAGGGTTTAGATCTAACAATGGAGTTAAGATATCTAAGACTACATGGGTAGTCTGGAGAAAAAGTAAGCAATCAAATAACTGTAAAACATATTCTCCAGGTACTATACTTCCTCCTCTGTTGGCTCACTGTGGTTAAGGGATGACACTAAATCATGCCTAATGATTGGGTTTTTTTGTTTTTTTGTTTTTGTTTTCCTGAAAATTCCAATCACTGGGTTTTAAAAGGTTATGCCAACAGCGTTGAGAAGCCTGGGAAGGTCTTACCAAACCAGAAAGCCTTAAGTTATGAACTCCCAGCTTTGGACTGTGCATTTATTGTTTAAGGAGAAGCCTGGCTAGGTGCTGAAAAGTTCATTATCAGAGCTTTGGCTATAAAGGGATAAAATTGTTAGCCACAACTACTAATACACCATATAATTACTGTAAAAGTAAAAGAAGGGGGAGGAATTTGCAAGCTGCATCAGTGGAGGAGAATTATGGTTCCTTGAAATACTCAAGTGGGCTTATGAAATATGATGCTTTTAGAAAGAGGATTGGATAATTATCCCCAGCATCTTTTCACTATATAATAGAGTCCAAAGCATTCTTTTATGTATCAAAATGTTCCAAGTATTAGATATTGTTAGGGTTCACCAAACACACTAAATACCAGGATATCAAAATAAAAACTACAGCGCTTCTCCAAAAGCCTGCACTTACTGTTTTAGGCTGCAGCATAATAAGAAAGACTCAATTGTGACGTCCAGTCATTCTAAAGATTGTTGAGATGGGGCATTTAGAATAAGAATTAAAGGATGAACACAGAGATGATTTGGGAATTCCCAGGAGTGCCTAGAGAGATCTGAATCA